CGGAGTCGGGTATTCCCGCCACTTCGCAAAATACTGGGTTTGACCCTGGCGACGACGTCGACCCAAAAGATATTTCACTTGATAGTGGACACCACAATTCTCGCCGAGAAGAGTCGGCGGCGGACGATAGCGGCATGGTCGATCGTCGTCCAGTGATTCGTAATGCTCTTGAAATCTTGAAAACAAGATCCGTCGCGATCGGGACACCGCTGAGCATCATGCTGGGATGCATACCGCTGTGCGGTAGAGATAGAGCGCTTGAAGCACTTTGTGCACCGACTGCCGCACGTTGAGGACTATCGCTGCCGGAGCGGCTTCCAGCTGTTGTGCAAACAAACGCGTCGCTTCGTACGGCGGTGTAGCGCCTGGCTTTGTTGGGGATGGACATAGATGCGTGACGTGCTCAAAACAAGTTGTTGGTCCACCTTCTAGGTGGTCGAGCGCCTGTGGGTGCCGGAGCAGCGCAAAAAAACGCGGAAGCGTTTATTTGCGCCGGATTTCTTTGAGCAAGCTCACATGAAGCACCGGGTGGGTGCGCATCCGTTCGGATTAATTAGCGTATAAGCAACGCCCCGCTTGGCCACAACCTTGAAACCATGGACGGGGCTACGTCTTATAGACAGCAAAAATCGTATAAGTTTCTAGCACTTTATACAACCAGGCCTCCGACCTCATAGTTTCTAGCATTCCCCCTGCCTCTTTCGTCTGACTCTTCCTTTTGCATGTCTTGACTTCCAGCCATCGCATCGCAAACCTGGTAGACAAGAAGACATCATTTTTTTACGAACAGTGAGAGGGCTGAAGCCAGCTAACTGCTCGGCTCTTTCTCCCTACCAAGCCCTGATCCATGGGATAACGGCGTCAGCGGGACGCGAGGAAGAACAAGCCTACCCACGTAGAACGACGTGTAGTCGGTAGATGAATGCACTGCATTGTTCAGAGCGAACTCTACCAATGGCAGCATGGTGCTCTAGCGCCTCGGCGCCCCAGCGCACACGCAAAGGACGTATTTAGTGACGCGATTCGCGCGGTCAGTTTGACCACCAGTCTGCAGATGGCCCGCTGGTGAAATATCCAGCCAAAATTCATGCGTTGGTGCTCCGCACGGAATAGGGCGTCAATGACGTCGCACTACTCCTTTTGCAGGGGCCATTGGCGTTTTAAAACGTATTTGGCTTCTGAAACCAGGTCGATCTCATGACGCACACCACGGTCCGGAGGTAGGACCGACGGCGGGTCTGTGGAGACGACGTTCTGAAATTCCTTCACCAAACAAAACTACGAATGCGAGGTATTCGTCAGGATCAAGGTTCACCTCGTGCGCTCAGCACCTTCTTGGTGTTTTACAGGACAACTTTATCCACATGAGACGAGTAGTTGATCTCCTCTACCGGTCGTTTGATGACCACTTCGTCTAAGTCGCCTGCCTTTAAGGCACCGCTGAACTCCTCGACATCTCCTCCAGCTTGAAAAGAGCATCCACTTCGGTTATTGCTTCGATGGTGGAATAGCTGTCTTCTTCTCCCGTAATACCGTTGAGAAACGTGTATAGCTGTGCGCTATTGTCTACGGTAGACACATTCTGGGTCAGGGTCGATACCCGGCGAACATACGGCGTCGCTGTCGCTCCTATACAGAGGTTGTACGTCTCGGCGAGAAGAGTGTTAACACGCACTCAGCGTCGTCCAGCGTTAGCCCTACTTCTTGCTCCACCGGAGCGCTTATGTTATTAACAACATTTGACGGGGAGCGTTAGCTCCGCAGTCTTCGTCCAGCGGATATGCGCGGCTCCACGCGCATCAGAAAAGCCTTGCCCATGATGCCTCGGACCTCGTCCGACAATGCCACTTGTAGCATGCAGCGACTGCTTCGAAACGTGAGCAATGATCAGTGGAATGTGTGCCACTCCACGTTCAGCCCGCGAGCCATGCTCGAGGCTTCTGCCCGATACACTTTTGATGTTCGCCAATAGCGTTTTTGCCTCCTAGCAGAGGGGATTCATGACTCACTGAAGATCCATCCGGAGACGTGAGCGTAACGCCCAAGGTCTTCGACCTCCAATCAATCCAAGGCTCCTGGTGTTCAAACCATGCCATACTAATAATGTACTTATACCCTGAATCCATGTCGATGACCAAGCAGCTTCCACGCTTTCAAAGTCAAGAGCTTGACGCCTGGGTCCACTGGGACCCTCGGCACCATGGCACATGACTTCGTCGCTAAGTGTACTGTGACAATGTCACTTAAACGCGCTTTCAGCGCCTCAGCATACGGCTGACTTCCATCGATCGTGGAGCTTCGAGCGCAATTGCCCGACGATCAGGATCTTGCACGGCTTCTCAAAAGTCCTCCACTGTTGCTTTGACGGCCAGCAAGCCCGGCTTGCATACACTTTCCGTATTCAAAAGCACGGAGCTCTTTCGCGCTGACTTCTGCTGACCTATACCTTCTTGGGGCTCAACAGAACTCAGTTCTTTCCCAGTTAGACGCCCATGTCTACTGGGTGCTATCGTTTCCCCGCGACAAACTCGAAGACTGATAAGATGCGGGACGTCGATTCGATGAATCTTGGTGCGCCTTGCGTAGGGGACAACCAATCAGAAGGTGACGCACAGACAAAACACCGTCAGGTGGTCGAACGCTGCTCGACAGCTTGGAGCTCTGTCTCCTCGTCGTCAGATAGCTGAGATCGATCGGCCTAGGTCTGCTCGACGAGCTGCTAGAGTGTGCATTCCAACCAAGTCGTGCCGAGTTCAAGTTGAATTCGGCATTAAATGCCACATTTTCTGTTTCTGGGGAGAGGATCGTCTGCTATCCCGATAATGAAATCATCCAACTCTTGAACAAAATCCACCAACTCCTTGTTGCCCTGTCGGGCGGCAAAGAAAAGCGACCGTACGCGATATGCCTTGTTAGGCGGCGAGAATACTCGTAACAGCTGCATTTTTAGCTCCGCCCAGGAGGGGAACGCAGCTTCAACCGAAGCACCGCACATTAGTGCCCGTTGTCGCTCTTGGTCCCCGAGCTTAGAGATAGCTAGCACCACGCGCTGTTGCTCGGTCTGGTGGATGCCATGGCCATCTCGACTTCTCTTACAGAGTACAGGAGATTCTCACCGTCCTTGTCCTCGAAGGTACCATGAGCGGCTCGGGTCGGGAGAAGTCATCCGTCGCCGACCGTGGCGTCATGGACGCAGTCGACGCCGACATCTTCTGCTGTAGGTGCTCTAGTAGAGAATTCACATAGTCTACAAAAGCCTCTCGACACGTGCTAATCGCTTCAGGTCCTTGCGAAGCGAGGTGTTGCATGCCCTCAGGGCCGAGCATAGATATCAGCTTTTTAAACCCGTCCTGCGTGCCGTGGGTCAAATAGGAGAATTGCAGAGAATCAATCGTAACGACTTAGGTGTAAATAGACTACAAGCGCTACCAAGTGCAGCGGGGCTGCCGTGGCTTTGGCTTAGATGAAGCAAAGCTAAGGTCGGCGACCTTCGTTCTATACTTAAAACCATTACGAGTTTAGCAGATCGCAACCCGCTTGATCCAAGAGTAACCACAACCTTAACCCAAGGCATATTGATTCTTCTGAAACCGTATTTATCTGTTTTATTTACGGCAAAGCCGCCTTTCTCTAAATCTGTAGGTTTTCCTGATTAAATTGGAAAAACTTATAAATATGCGTAACTACTGGAAGTCCAAGCACATACTGACTACTTGTTAAAGTGTAGCCACAGCATTGTGTGATTACACCGTCTTATGTAAACAACACTATTGTATGGTTATATCATCTTGTGTGACCCACCCATTTTTAAATCGGGGTACACGTAACCCCATTACAAGCGAAGTCCATAGCGAAGGCGTGGTCGTGGCTGTGGGCGTAGAGGTAGAGTATGCGAGACTTAGGCTCATAACCTGAAAGAAAAGGTCTTTGGCAAAAAAGCAAAGTAGATGTATTAGAGATTCTTTGTTCGCTCTCCTGTGCCATCTCAATCCTGTCGCTTGTTGTAGAATATTCTGTAGAATATTCTATTGGAATTTAAGTGGATGTAAACCATTGCCGTCCCACTACTGGGTACAAAAACTGGAGTTTTGTATGGCGACAGCTTATACTCCTTGAAGCTCAACGTGCAGCTGCTATCGAGACGTTTTCCTGTCCACATTATTTGGTTGTTGAAAAAGACAATTTGTGGCAGCAGGTCACGCCTAAAAGACTTGCCTCGTTAGTCAGATATCCGACATTTTGCTCGTTAGTAATTTGACAATACCATTGGTGTAGGTGGTACTGAAATGGTCAGCAGATTCAAATTGACTGCAGACACTTACAACACTTGTTCTATATACCAACGGGTTGAATCAGCTACAGACTTCAACGAGTTACCGTATTTGATTCGAGGTCAGGCCGAGCATGGTCTTTCACCTCTTTTAATTTCTTGATCAAGCATGTTCTACGAGAGTGTAAATCTTAACATACTATGGAGTTTAAATAGGTGCCACTATACCGTCAAAATACCGTCAAGTCACCGGTATCATCTATGACATATCTTTACTTTACCGGTGCCCATCATGCGTCATGTTGGAGCTAAAGTATTTTTATAATTGTTAACTGTAATATACGAGATCAAGAAGAGGCATTAGCGTATTGCTTGCTAAAGGACCACTCGATATCACTCAACAGTTTTCGCTCGTCATAGCAGGCTTAATAATATTTTTGATGCCCTTGGTCTGCTTTGATTCGTTCTGCTTACATATAAGTACGGAATTTGTGACCGGTGTTATCCCGTTACTTGACAGTCTATTATATATCAGGATCTCTTAACGGTTTGAGGTGTAGTTCTTATTGTAATTATTTGCCTTACAACAATATTGCTGAAGTGCCGTGAGAATTATTAATATTACCTACTAGGTAACTGTACTTTTAAGTATCACGTGGAAAACAGACCATGAACATTCAGCAGCTATTCGCGTTCATTGCCCTGTTGTTAGCGCCGGCAGAGCAGACGACACGATCTCACAGCTACACCTTTGACGAGGTTAGAAGCAATGATCCTGCTCCAATTATTGAAGTAAGCACTGGTCTCACAGCCGAACAGGAGAGCCGCATTATTGGTGGTGTAGACGCATCCATCAGCGATTTTCCATACGTCGCGAGTGTGCGTATCGACGGCATCACGGTCTGCGCTGCCACGCTCATTGCACCACAGTACCTTTTGACAACGGCGCATTGCGTCAGGACGGACGAAATAACTATGACTGCTTCTTTTGATACGATATATCGCTTTGGCAATGATGGCGAAGAGGTAGCAATCGACACAGGCTTTAAGCACCCATTGTACAACAAGAAAATGCACAAGTATGACGTGGGTCTGCTCAAATTAATGGAGCCACGAAAGCAAAAAATAGCTTCTTTGCCCGCCGCTGATGGCTCGGACGAAAAAGTCGGCACGATGGCCATCATTCTTGGCTGGGGTCAAACGGCGACGGAAGATAGTAGTTTTAAGCTACAGTCTGCCAGTATTCCTATTATCTCACATGAAGAATGTAACAAGTTTGAGTCGTACAAAGATCAGCTCTCGGATGGTATGCTTTGCGCTGGCGACGGCAACGGCAAGGGCTCGTGCAGAGGCGACTCAGGCGGCCCTCTTATCGCTAATGATGTCCTTGTCGGTTTCGTTAGCTGGGCAGGTGAACACTGCGGCAAAGAACCTGGCGTGTACACTCGCATATCGTCTGTGTTGGACTACATTCAGAGTGTCCTCGATGGTGACGAAGACGAAAATGCCTTACGTGTAAAGCCAGCTTCATCGGCAGAGCAGACTTTTTAGTCTTTGTTCAAAGCGTTTACACTCGTAATATATGTTGAAGAGGGTGAATCCCGAGTATAAAGACAGCGCCAAATATTGATATCGATACCTTTCAAAATAATGACCTGCCTTCTTTGCCATGAAGCTTTAGATTTGCAATTTACTGTCACCTGAAAGCAATTTAAGCGAAACATGAATTTACTGTGCGAAACATTTGTCTCCCAGGACAAGATGCTTATAACCCAGTTAAGTAACAGCTAAGTTTTAACGATGACACAAGAAAGAGCCAAAGCACTGCCCCTGCGCGTTGGGCGGATCACATGTACGTAGGTGGCGAAGGATATTAAATCTAGCCATACCATGTGCACGCTTCGGAAAGTAGTTGGGAATGTTTCGATCTTTGATAGAGACTACAAGGGGATATGTGATGTCCTGCGACGACGGAATAAATGCAGAGCGTGAAGAGAATAGCTGCGCGTGTTGATAGATAGAACTGTGAGCAATAAACTCTAAATTTCTCATGTCAGTTTTCGAGTGCCACACAGAATGACGCCCTGGTTCATGAAAGTTTGAGGCATCAACCTCAGTGAAGCCTTTTGTGCATGCTGTAAGGTTTAGAAGGAATGTAACAAATTAGAAAGTTGTCGTATAAATTACCAAGCATTGAGGTTGAGTCTGGAAGCTTCGATCATCTCAAAAGTTCGTTGAAGTGTGATATACGGATTGAGGGTATTCAGAAATGGTACTAAGACAATATTATTTGCCAATACGAACTATACGGCATTGTACCATCTTTGAATGGTGACAAAACCGACACGAATTCTGTCAAACAATATACGTAGAATAAAACTTGTACAATACGAATAATCTTTGGCATTAAAGAAAAGAAGTTATAATCAATCTACGGTCGTTGTGCCTAATGCTGGCTTCGCGAAAATTCGGTGACATATCTGTTTTGATACCCGAATATTACACAATTTTTTCTTGAATCGTCAATTTGTAACGAGGTGAAAACTTAGAAGTCTGTAAATGTAAATCTAAAATAAAAAGGTGATTGTTGTACGTTCGCTTCATTACTTCGACAGATGTTTTCTCATAAAAAAAAGTCTTTTTGACAACTTTCGACTCATCATTAAGAAGTTGTAGACTCGTTTGTGTAATTATTACTTCCCTAGAAGTATAAAACATGCCTTGCAAGCAAGAAAAAGTCTCTAGTAGTCTCACCATTCGGTGCATTTTCCAAGTGTAGGCAAGCAAGCTGGCCCATCTTTCATTACTCTCCCCATATGGAATTTATGTATAAAGGTGGGCATTTTATAGAGTTTCATTCACGTTGATTGGACCCAATCACACCGGATCTGACCCGAAACCCTGGAAGCTAACGCCACAGTCTCGTAGAGCTCTGGCTTGAAGGATAGTTCAAACGTTAGTTCTATCTGACTTTCACTCGTCAAACTTCTCAACGCAAAGTAGGAATTACCAACATACTTGTGAACTTACAACATTCTGTAAGATGAAAACCTTACTGATCGGCGCTTTTACCGCGACAGTTGCGTCGCTGTCGGCTGCATCTTATGGCTATTCGTTTTCAGACACGTCGATGGTTGAGACCAAGGAAAGGAGTACAGATATCACAAAGAATGCGGAAAATCACATTTACGGTGGTACAGCGGCAGATGTCAGAGACTATCCGTCCCTCGCTAGTCTACGCGATTCCATATTTCAGCAAACGTTTTGTGCCGGCGCGCTCATTCACCCTCAATTCATTCTGACGGCTGGACACTGTATTCGACACACGGAGTTTGATATTGTCGCCACCTTTGGAACGAATGATAGCGCGGGTGACAGCTCGGGTCACGCCATTACAGTTCCAGTCGCGACCGGTTTTCGTCACCCAATGTACCGAAAAAAGCAACACTTGTATGACGTTGGACTGCTCAAGTTAGAGAAACCTATCCGCCGCCCGCTGGCAAAGTTGTGCGCCAGGGATGGTTCCGACAACGAAATTGGTACAGAGGGTACTGTTGTCGGGTGGGGTAAGACCGAAGACAGTAAGGACATGGGTAGCCCTATCCTGGAAAAGCTTGTACTTCCGATCATTTCAAATGCTGAGTGTGGAAAATTCGAGAAGTATATTGGTCGTATCACGGAAGGCATGTTGTGCGCTGGTGTCGGCAATGGGCTGGATACGTGTAATGGTGACTCAGGTGGTCCGTTCTTTGTTAAAAAGAACATCCTTGTTGGCTGCGTAAGCTGGGGAAGCACATGCGGTCAGCAACCTGGCGTCTTCACTCGTCTTACTTATGTTATGGACTATATTGAAGATATTTTAAACGGTGGCGACGGAAGTAAGTTTTACGTCGAGTCTTCATTCTCCGATTCTGCGTCAGGATCGATGAGTGAAGCTGCTAGATCGAGCGATTTAACTCCGGAAGACGAAGACGATCCACAGTCGAGCAATACAAGTGACGATGCAAAGAAGAACATACTTGGGTCAAAAGACGCGCTTAAGAGTGTTCAAGACACAGATAGTAATGACCAACACTCTGGCAGCGATGCAACGTTTGACGCCACCAGCGGAAGCGACAAAACGGTCCATAAAAAAAACGATTTGGAACATTTCATGGAAATTTTGAATCAATCGCCGGAGGACTCGGAGGACATCGACAGCAAAGTTGCGGCTATTATGGAAGATGTTCCCCCCATGAGTTCATCGGACAGCTCGGGCCTTTTCATTCCTCCTGAGGTGCTAAAGGCTTTTGGTGTGATAGGACAGACACGCTATTCCGATGACTTGGTATCGAACACTGACGATGCAGAGCAGATGGAACTTTTCGATGTCAAGAGTGGCAATAATATCGAAAATGATGAGCCTGTTAAGGCGAAGAAAACATCCCAGGAGATGACACATGAAGCTGTCGTGCCTCGTGACTCGACGACAAATACGGACTATTCGGTTCAGCAAATGGACACAGCCGAACAGGTCTCAGACCTTTAATCGTTGCCACCATTCTACTTCATTCGGCTCATGAGAGTGTTCATTTTAGAGAGGAGACCAGGTCTGATTTCTATCCAGCAAGACCTTTAAAAATAGAAATGACCAAAACATGCAACGAAAAAGGCTTAGATTTGTGACTCTTTGTTAATAATCCAATGAAGATTGTCGGCTAACTGAGCTTTATTTATTTTGCGGTGTCGTTTTGCATTATGCCAGTATAATATCCTCAAATTGTCGAGAATACTGTTATCATCAGATCACGCATATGTCCTGTGAAGCACGTCGCCTTTGCTTACTTTTCTAATTCACAAAGAACGTACCACTCTAACGGACAATTACCTTGCGGAAGAAGCGGTGATGAGTAGCGAGCCTACAACGAGAAGCATTGCCTGAAACGGGGCAAGTACTGTAATTAACCAAACCTTTACGCTCGTATAAATTACATTACAGTAGCACACTTGGTGTCAGTGGAGACTATTCATGAGTATCGGAACATTCGATATTTATGAAATTTAAAATGGAGGGGAGTGAATTGCAAGCCAATGGTAAGAAATAGACAGCCTTATCAAGAGAAATAGTAAAGCGTTTATGTGAGTATAAGTCCAAATAGAATTTATCTAGAATATAATTACTTTTGAAACAGCAGAGCGAATTAAAGCCTCGGCTTCGTTTCTTGCAGGAGCGCGGGAACCAACCATCTGTGCGTTTGTTCACGCCAATTCTGAGTTTCTTCTGTGCGAATTGCACGGCAACCTGTTGCGCTTGGAACTGGGTGTAATCATTCCCACGGCCGAATCTTCGCAAGACTGTATCCTCTGCGGGGATGGAACGTGTAGTTTTGAATAATTGTTTCCAGAAAACATTTGTCTAGCTTAGATTTGGTGGAATCAGGGAATGATCTGCCAGAGGACCGAAAGCGGCAATCGCTCTCTTGAAGACACTTACCAGCTTCGACAATGCGCCGAAGAAACACGGCCAGGCCGAGCACCGATGGAGGAGCGGATGTATATCGCCATGCGACCGCGTAGAGGTTGGGACAGCAAACGTCGGTTCTTCTGAATAAGGTAAGTTAAGATGGCTAAGGATTTGGCCTTGCTGCTCTGTCATGGTGCATCATACTTACGATTTTTAAGATTGCGCGTAAGCATGAGCCTTAATGTGCAATACCTTGGTAATGCGATCCGAACGTGCGATAATTTGGTGTGTTAGATATCGCGAGTGATAGCATCGCCTATCCAGTCGTATTAGATGCAACCAAAATTCTAATCTACCAGTCAAGTGGACCGAGTACTGACAGGTTATGCCCAAGAATTAATGGCTTTAGTCGTCGTTATGACGACTGACTCTCTCGAAGGGCGGTAATGCCTATCATCTTTTCATCTTTACGGAAGTCTCCAAATCGATGCTGCTCGCACAAAGAAACCCTGCGTTCATCCTACTCCATTCGAGGCAGTGGTAGGCGTCGCATTTAGCGCGAGTCACTGATTCCGTACCGCGAGGACAAAATGGAGTTCTGTGAATGTACATTTTATGGGTGATTCAAAAGCAAAAAACCTCAGCCATGCTGATGAAGAAGGAAGAGATTTCTCGATGCAAAGCAGCTCCGCAGTACCCGCCGATGTTTCAGCGGTGATGCCACAAACCACCTGCTTTGTATACCCACTTCAATCTCGGCTTTAGGGTACGAAGGGTCGAAAACCACGCAATAGCGAACGACGAGCATCTCACGAGATGTTGGTCAAGCTCCTGTTGGTGCAGGGTGGTCAACCAAAAGAACTGGGCTCTACTATATCTAATAAAGGTCGTGACAAATGGTAAAATGGTACATAGCCCCCAACTTAGGACTCTATTTAAGCGTGGTGGGGCTCGCGGCCTGGGTTCTTGTTTGTTGATATCAGCATATCAAGCTTTGTAAAGCTGTAGAAAATACTGATTGACTCAGTGGAACGTGCCATCTCGTACAACGTTCGACTGTCGATAGCAGTGAACAGTACGCGAAGTCAATGCGTTTGCCTAATATGGAAACGATTCCTATGCGCGTTTCGACGGGGACACTGGTCAAAGCTTGAAGGTAAATAGGCCTTTCAAGCTTACTTTACGAGCTTCGCCAGCAAGCAAGGTCATCTCATCCTGAACATTACAGACCTGGCATGGTTGGAATCTCGCGAGCCGCGGGTAAAAACCGAGAAACTGAGGGGTCACGCATTTCTTGATGGAGCATCGGCGAGTCATGCGTCCACCTCTGTCAGGAGAAAAACGGCTTTAGCAAGCTTTGACAACCTCCGTGCAAGAAATAAGACATCGCCCGAAAATTACAGCAACAAAGTTGTCAGGTGCCGTGAGTTGCGCCCAGTGGATAGAAGTGGCGGTATGCCAAAACCTTGAAACTAGACAGTATAGAATGGTTGAACATCGCGGTCTCCAAAGTGTATCTCTTTTGAGACGAGAATGCCCAATTTTGAAAGTGGTCCCCGGAGTGTAACTCTGGCAAAGGAGTAAAAAGTGGTGTGAGCTGTTTCCTACGTGCGAGAGCTGGTGGAGCTGAAGAACTAAGCCCTGAGGATCAGGGGATTGGCTAATTTTTCCCAAGATATGCCGGCAATGCTTGGTCAGCACTGCCGTTTGACGGGACCACCGAGCGGGATAGTACGGTTCCGCGGTCAAATGGCATGAAGGAGTTTAACATATGGAAATGGATTAGTCAGGGTAGTCCTAGGGTTGTAACTCCTCCTTCTACCAGTTTATGTAACGCTCACAGGGTGATTTCTTCAGGCCATGTGCAAGGGGCTGCAAGACGTTAAAGTCATCGAATCGGAAAAGTTGGTACCAGAAGAAAAATCGGACTCGTCAGTCGTAAGGAATACCTGTCATAGATAACACTTGCAGAGCACTGAAAACATGAAGTGGGTCACCTATTCTCAAGATTCTATGGATCTTTTATCCATGTTTTGAAATTATCACCACGCTTGTGATTCCTCAGATAGAGTAGTGCGTCATGTAATTGACTTAATTAGCGAAGCCAAATATTGTGTCACAATATTATGGCCTTTGACAAGATAGAAAACAGTGTAATATCATTGACATTTTTCACGAGAAACACGAAGTGGGAGGTTTCGTGAGCAAATATAACTAGCCCCATCCGGCGCCAACTTTACGTGTCACAGATACATCGTCAATATAGATTTGAGCATTGCCATGATGTGTTTGAACAGCTATGTGACCAGTGACGTTCAATCGTTTGGACACATAGCATATCATGACAATGCGCAAACCTATGTTAGCGATGTATATGTCTCTTGTCGTGCAAAGCGTGAGAAGTTGGATGCTTAAAACTACCCCGGACACATGCGAGCGGTCCTCGAGTGTATGCTCCTAGAATTGCTGCTTGTTAACATGATGAAGTGTACCTTTAGTGCCGACTTTCTTCCTACTTTGGATTTCTCATCACGAAACAGGCCTTGCAGGCGAATTCCGCTAAAATCATGGTATTTATAGATTGTTCAGTGCTCAGTCTTAAAAAACTTAAAAAAATGGCGTAGCCTGGTCAGCTACTTGCACAAACACTGACATGAAGACCCAGCACCAAAATATACTAAATAATGCTGGTATGCTGCGAAAGAGGCGTTAAGGCTGTGAATGAATTTCTCATGTGTACCTCGACTTTTGCACTTTAGCTACAGATCGGCCATTCCAAGTCGTCTGCGACGCTTCTGCCTCTACAAATGGCTGCACTCTGTTTAGCGCATATGTGAAGAGGCATGATCGTGTTTAAGAATTGCCAGGTAAAAGCTACCGAGAAGAACTACCCGTTCATGACAATGAGCTTAGTGCAACGGATTATGCCCTCGTCAAGTTCAGGATGCGCTTGCTTGGTACCAAACCGAAAATGATCTATACAGATAAAATGTGTTGTTGCCCACAGCGACGTCTCTTCCCGATAATGGGAAGATAGGGCCATCCAAATCTGCTGAATGCTGTAAGGTGAGGTGCAAGCCGGGTCGGCTTAATGTGGTGGCGGTTGCGCTTTTGAAATGCCCATCAAATGATCCTCGTATCCCGCAGTATGGTGGTATTGCTAAATATAAGACGGTACGTGCAGTGTACGGGGTGTGGCGCGACATGGGTCGCTCTGCTAAGAGCATTGTGCAGCCAATTGTTTGAGAGCTCATATGTCGCTTTATCAAAGTGCGCGGTTGCACACCTGCACCGCTATGCCTCAATCCAAGACTTGCTGTATTATAGCACCGACCCACATGATACTCAGCGTGTTTATGTGCCTCATGATGATGACCTAAAATAAAGAATATTGTACGAGGCACATCATACTTTTTTGGGTGACTACTTCGGAAGAAAATATATTTGCTTAGTAAACGCTATGTGTCGACGGTCCAACTTGTACAAGTGAAGGTGCACATATTTGCGGACGTGCGAAATGTCTGCGAGCTAACCCTCGCCGCATGGGGTGGAACCTATGGCCATCCTGCCGGTTCCAGCAGACCACCAGTAAGAACTTAAAGTTTGGCTTCCTAAATACGCCTCCGGTAATCTATGTAATTTTTTAAATGTTTGAACAAGGTGGACAGCAGAGCCGTTAACTGAAGAGGAGGCGTTTTCTACGCATCACCTTTTTCTGCATGATTTGCGTACTCTGTGTCCGTTCCCTAAGGCCAAAACTGTAACCACACCAGCCGTGGAGTTTACAACGGCGTTCAGACCGTTACTGCTGGTTAGATTTGTGCCAGGAAGCCAACTGGCAGCGTAAAAGTCGGAACAACGCTTACAGATGCAATTGCGTCCTAAATTTGGATTCTTCTCATTACCAACAACCCACCGTGGCGGGGCGGAGCCCTTAAACCCCCTGTGCACGTTGTCTTTCCACTCACGAATGAGCAAAATGAGCGCTCTGAAGTCACCCGTGATACCCAGATGCTACCTCACTTGTAGTGGCAGCCGGATAAACCGCAGTTGAATACTTCCGTACCTTCCGTTCGACCCTTAAA